AGAAAAAAAGAGAGATGCAAACAGCTAATGAAGGAGAAGACATCACAACTGATGGCAGAGAAATAAAAAGGATTATAAGAGGCTACTACAATTATATGCCAATAGATAAATACCTAGAAACATACAACCTACTAAAACTGAATCACGAAGAAATAAAAAATCTGAGTGGATCCAAAACTAATGAGAAGATTGAAGCAGGAATCAAAAACAGAAGAAAAGCCCAGGCAAAAACAGAAGAAAAGCCCAGGATCAGATGACTTCACTGGAGAATTCTACCAAGCATTTAAAGAAGAAATAACAATCCTTCCCAATTCTTCTAAAGAATCAAAGAGCGGGGAACAACCCCAAACTTATTCTATGAGGCCAGCATTTCCCTGATACCATCACCAGAAAAAGACAGTACAAGAAAACTACAGACCAATTTCCTCAACGAATACTGATACAAAAAATCTTAAAATACTACCAAATCAAAATCAACAGCACATTAAAATGATCATACACCATGACCAAATGGGATTTATCATTGGGATCCAAGGATATATATATGAAGATCGATCAATGTAATGCAACACATAAACAATGTGTTGCATGATCATCTCAGTCAATGCAGAAAAGGCATTTGGCGTAATTCAACACCCTTTCATGGGCTTTCCTGGTGGCGCAGTGGTTAAGAATCCACCTGCCAATGCAGGGGACACGGGTTCGAGCCCTGGTCCAGGAAGATCCCACATGCCGTGGAGCAACTAAGCCCGTGCGCCACAACTACTGAGCCTGCGCTCTAGAGCCCGCATGCCACAACTACTGAGCCGCACACCACAACTCCTGAAGCCCCCGTGCCTAGAGCCCGTGCTCCGCAACAAGAGAAGCCTCCGTAATGAGAAGCCCGCGTACCACAACAAAGAGTAGCTGCCACTTGCCGTAAAAAGAGAAAGCTGGCGCACAGCAACAAAGACCCAATGTAGCCAAAAATTTAAAAAATTTTAAAAAAAAAGTCTATACTATCCAAAGTGATCTACGACTCAATGGACTTCCTATCAAAATGTAATGGCATTTGTTTCAGAAATAGAAAAAAAAATCCTAAAATTCATATGAAATCTCAAGGAACCCTGAGTAGCCAAAACAATCTTGAAAAGGAAGAGCAAACTTGGAGGTCTCACATTCTCAGATTTCAAAACATACTACAAAGCAACAGAAATTAAGACTGGCATAAAGACACATACATAAGCCAATGAATAGAGAACCGAGAAATAAACTCTTGCATATAGGGCCAAATGATTTTCAACAAGGGCGCCAAGACCATTCAATAGGGAAAGGACAGTCTCTTCAACAAATGGTTTTAGAAAAAATGGGTATCTATATGCAAAAGTATTAATAGAGTTGGATTCTTACATCACATACAAAAATTAACTTGAAATGAATGAAAGACCTAAATGTGAGACCTGAACCCATTAGACTCCCAGAAGAACATGGAGAAAAAGCTTCAGGACATTGGACTTGGCAATGACTTCTTGGACATGACACCAAAAGCACAGGACAAAGATCAAAATTAGAAAATGAGAATACATGACCAAAGTAAACAATCAACAGTGAAAAGGTAACCTACAGAATAGGAGAAAATATTTGCCAATCATATATCTGATGAGGGGTTAATATCCAGAATATATAAGGAACTTCTACAACTCAACAACAAACAAATACCCTGATTAAAAAATGGGCAAAGGACTTGAACAGACATTTCTCCAAAGAAGATATATAAATAGCCAATAAGCACATGAAAAGATGCTCAACATCACTAATCATTAGGGAAATGAAAATCCAAACCAAAACAAGATATCATTTCATACCCATCAGGATGCCCACTACCAAAAGAACAGAAAAATACAAGTGCTCAAGAGGACAGGGAGAAGTTGAAACCCTTGTGTAATCTAGACGCTAACATAAAATGGTGCATCCATTATGGAAAACAGTATGGAGGTTCCTGCACAAATTAAAAATATAATTACCATACGATCCAGAAATTCTACTTCTGGGTATATATCTAACGTAATTCGAAGCAAGATCTTGAAAAGTTATTTGTATACCTGTGTTCACTGCAGCATTATTCACATGGCCAAGAGGTAGAAGGAAGCCAAACGTCCATCAACAGATTAACTGATAAAGAAAGTGTGGTATATACATACAATGGAGTATTTACATAGCCTTAAACAAGGGGAAATCCTGTCATATGCCACAACATAAATGAACCTTGAAGACATTATGCTAAGCGAAATAAACCAGTCACAAAAGGACAGATACTATAGTTCCCTCTCACAGGAAGTATCTCTCTAAAGCAGTCCAAGTAATAGAAACAGAAAACAGAAAAGTGTGTACCAAGGGTTAGAGGTTTGCTGTACAACAATGTGAATATATTTAACACTACTGAATTGTATACTCAAAAATGGTTAAGGGCTTCTCTGCCAGCGCAGTGGTTAAGAATCCACCTGCCAGTGCAGGCGACACGGTTCGAGCCCTGGTCCAGGAAGATCCCACATGCCGCGGAGCACCTAAGCCCGTGAGCCACAACTACTGACCCTGCGGCTCTAGAGCCCGCGGGCCACAACTACTTAAGCCAGTGAGCCACAACTACTGAAGCCCATGCGCCTAGAGCCCGTGCTCCACAGCAAGAGAAGCCACCACAAAGAGAAGCCCACGCGCAGCAACAAAGACCCAATGCAGCCATAAATAAATAAATATTTTTTAAAAATGGTTAAGATGGTAAATTTAGTATTATGTGTTTTTTATCCCAATAACACAATAAAATAAAAATAAATAAATAATACCTTAAGACTAGGATAAAATATTTGGAAAAGACCCATCTGATAAAGGATTGTTATCCAAAATATACTAAAAAAACAATTAAAACTCAACAATATGAAAATGAACAATCTGATAAAAAAATGGGCCAAAGACCTAATAGATACCCCATTAAAGAAGATATTCAAATGGCAAGTAAGCATATGAAAATATGTTCAACACCATATGTCATTAGGGAATTGCAAATTAAGACAAAAATGAGATACCACTACACACCCATTAGAACGGCCAAAATCCAGAACACTGACAATGAATGCTGGCCAGGATATGGAGTAACAGAACTCTCATTCACTGTTTATGGGAATGCAAAGTGGGTAGCTATGTTGGAGACAGCCTGGAAGCTTCTTATGAACTAAACATACTCTTACCATATGATCCAGTAATCACACTACGTGGCATTTACCAAAATGAACTGAAATCTTACGTCCACACAAAAACCTGCACATGGATGTTTACAGCAGTTTTATTTGTAATTGCCAAAACATGGAAGCACCCAAGATGTCCTTCAGTAAGTGAATGGATAAACAAACTGGTACATCTAGACAATGAAATATTATTTAGTGCAAAAAGAAATGAGCTATCAGCCAGTGGGAAGCAGCCACATAGCACAGGGAGATCAACTCGGTGCTCTGTGACCACCTAGAGGGGTAGGATAGGGAGGGAGGGTGGGAGAGAGGGAGACGCGAAAGGGAAGAGGTATGGGAACATATGTATATGTATAACGGATTCACTTTGCTATAAAGCAGAAACTAACACACCATTGTAAAGCAATTATACTCCAATAAAGATGTTAAAAAAATAAAAATAATAATTTGGACAAAAAAAAAAAAGAAATGAGCTATCAAGCCATGAAAAGACGGAGGAAACTTAAATGCATTATTACTAAGTGAAAGAAGCCAATTTGAAAAAGCTACATATTGTATGATTTTCACTACATGACACTATGAAAAAAGGCAAAACTATGGAGACAGTAGAAAGAAGAGTGGTGACCCGGGTTGGAGGGAGGGATGAATAGGCAGAGCACAAAGGATGGTTAGGGCAGTGAAATGATTCTGTATGATACTATAGTGTATAGGTCATTATAACATTTGCTCAGACTCACTGAATATGTAACACCAAGAGTGAACCCTAATCTAAACTATGGACTTTGGGTTATAATGATGTGCCACTGGAGGTTCACTGATTATAACAAATATGCCACTCTGGTGGGGGATAATGATTATGAGGAAGGTTGCACCTGTGTGGAGAAAGGGGTGTATGTCAACTCCATAATTTCTGTTCAATTTTGCTGTGAACTTAAAACTGCTCTAAAAAGTAAACCTTACTATTAATTAAAATAAAACCTGTTGGGAACAAAAAATATTATTTGATGTGGACAAGTCTAAAATTTTATTGACAGGACTCTTATTGGGTAATATGAAACAATTATTAATTTGGATAAAAAATTAAATTGCCTGAGATATTAAAAAATAACAATACCTTAGAACTATCATACGTTGCTGGTGGAATATAAAATGGTATATAGCTGCTGTGGAAAACAGTTTGGTGGTTCATGAAAAAGTTAACCATAGAGTCACCACATGACCTAGCAATTCTACTCCTACATATATACCCAAAATAATGGAAAACAGGTGTTCAAACAAAAACTTGTACATGAATATTCATACTACCAATATTCCTAATAGCCAAAAGGTAGAAAAAACCTAAAATGTCCATCAACTGATGAATGGATAGACAAAATATGGTATAGCTATATGATGGAGTATTATTCAATCATCAAAAGGAATGAAGTACGGATACATGCCACAACATGAATGAGCCTCAAGGACATAACAATAAGTGACAGAAGCCAGACATAAAGGCCACATAGTGTATGATTCCATTTATATGAAATATCTAGAATAGGTAAACCCACAGAGACAGAGAGGAGATTAGTGGTTGCCAGGGCCTGGGTGAGGGAGGAATGCAGCATGACTACTTAATGGCTATGGGGGTTTCCCTTTCCGGGTGGTGAAAATGTTCTGGAACTAGACAGTGTTGATGGTTGCACAGCACTGTGAATGTACAAAATGCCATTGAATTGTACATTTTAAAATGATGTGTTCTTACTGTAATTTTAAAAAAGAATGAACTACAAAACTTAATACCTTGATTTTTTCACTCTCTTTTCTCACTCGCTTTGCATTTTCAATAATGTAAACAGTGCTCTTGTTGACTTCATTGTCAGCTCTGTGCCTCAGCCAATCCTCATATCCCTAGAAGGATAAAAGTAAGGACATAATCAAGCTCACATAATGAAGTAAAATTGTTAATAAATTTCTATAACCCCCGCTATGAGTCACCAGCAGGTATTTATACTTACAGTATTAATTTCAACTCAGAATGCTAAAGAGACAACATTGTAAATTTTTGTAGCAAAAACTAAGATATGCTTTCAAAATATCCCTTATAGCTTTATTGCGTTAAAAGGTCCCTGCATTCTATAGGTAAGTATTAATAAAAACACAGGCATTCTTCAATTGTGAAGGATATGATTTATTTTTCTAATTCTGCTCTTATTCAAGTTAATGTTAATTTTTTCTACTCTTTAATTTGAAAAAAGTTTTATTTTCTTATAGAGCGAATCACTTAAATATGTTCTTGTATAGTAGACCGTTGGAGTGATCATCTATGAGGAAATATAATTCCTCCCCAGGGACAGAGAATAGAAAAGGCAAGGAGGATTATTTTGGAACAGTATCTATCTAAAACTGTTGTTTTAGAGAACGACGGTTAAACTTCTCCACTGACTTGGTGACAAAAAAAAATACAAATTGTTGTTCATTTTTTAGAGTTAGAAGTAATGAGTTCATTTTCCTTTGGGCTTCCTTTGGTCTAGAAGTAAATTTAAGCCAAAAGAACTAAGGATGGAGGGCGTTCATTTGTTTTAGCATGATCTCCTTCTTTTTTTACATCACTTTGCTTTCTTTCTTTATAATAATGAGTGTACCTTTTCAAATCTAACTGTGTGAAAAATCTCTTGATCGCCTTCCCCTTTTTTTCTCAGCTGCTGTATATTCATTCCTCTTCTGTCCTTCTTTATGGCGATGCTAGGCTATCACTTCATATGGTACTTTCTGTGATGTCAGTGAGGAAAGAAAGGCCCCAACATGAACTAGTACTGGGAGTAAACTGAATCAGTAAGAGCTTTTGAAAACCATACAGGCTATTCTTGGAACCAGCAATTCTATGATGTTAAAGAAAATAATCCTAACAGCCTAAGGAAATAACATTCCAAAAGTCTTTATATAGCAACCAAACACTTGATAAAATATTCTTGCAGTTCCTGGTAAGCAAGATAGAAGACCAGATAAACCCAAGAGGAAAGATAACCATGTTCCCAATATTGTTAAGCAAACAGTTTCGAAGTTTTGGGGGATACTTTTTAAAGTACTTTTGGTAAGTACTGTCTAAAAGTATCCTTGTAATCTGTCAGGCCCTATGGACTCTCCGATTACATGATAAACATTGCTAACCCACCCCTTCACCTCCAGTTTCCTGTTTCCATTTTCTATTTCATCTGGAATTTTTCAAAGGCACTATCATAAACTGTGGCAGGTATGAACTTTGACAAGAAACAAGAATAAAAGTCTCTTCTACCCATGACCCCCTTCAGCAGCATCAGGAAAGACAACAAAATTAAAGTAAGAAATTCAAGTATGCTCTTGAGTTCTCTGCTATAGGCAGCAATTTAAAAAGTCCACAAGAATGGGAATTTTTCAGACAGATATAGCACAATGAAAAATGTAATGCACATTAAAAATTCACCTCTCACTTCCCCACTGAGCTGCACCTTCTACTTACTCTCCTTTTAGGGTTATAGTCCCCCCTCGCCACACACACACACAAATAGGAAGAAAGGAGCAAAGAAATTAAAGATGCACCTTACAATAATTTTCATGTGTTTTCAATAAAAACCAAATATAAACTAAATTCATCAAGGATACCCACTCGATATAAATGTGAAAAAGAACCATTGACAATGAAATTCAAATCAGACAGGACTGAAATGCAAGTATAACTGTAAACTAGAAATTTACCTGTTTGATGGCTGTAACAGTTATAACAAAGAAAAGTGGAAGTCCACTGGTAACTGGGCTAGTTGGTGTGTCTACTGTGACCTAGGTAAAGAAATTAAATTGAAAGTAAAATGAAAATAAGTCATTAACTCATGTGCAGCACTTACATGCTACAAACATTTCAGACAGAAATGCAGACAAAACACATTCCGGTAGCAGGGTGAATGTTAACTTTCATTAAAACAAAAGCAATCCACATAGCTGTAAGTTTAAGAAAATAGTTCTAAATTTAGGCTTAGTTTTCATCCCAGCCTGAACTAACCCCTTGACTGAAATACATGCATTCATTTACCATCTATTTGTTGAGCACCATTCTGTCAGCCTCTGTGCTATTACCAGCCAGGCTGTAGAGATGCTGCTTTATTTTAAACAAGATGGAGAAAAGTCCCTGCCCTCATAGAACTGGCAACTTACAGTGAAAACCAGATATTAAAACAAGTGAGACACTGAGATTTGAAGAGTAAATAGAAGTTAACTAGATGGAAGGGAGGGCCTTCCAGGTGCAGTGAAGGGTGTATAGAAAGTCTCTATGGTAGGAGGGCATGTGGCACCTGTAAGAAAGTAAAGGAAGCCAGCGGCAAGAGAACATGTGGTATGAGATGCAGACTAGTCTAGATGTTTTACTAGAGTTTTCTAGTAAAAGAGCTACTTTAGAAATATGTAAAATCACATATATCTTAAAATATAATATTAGTACTTTAACAAGTCTTATTATAATAAGCCCTGAAACAACTTTTTAATTACAGGGCATTTTAAGGTTAGAAATGGATTGAAACTTGGTTAAGGAAATTAAGTTTCTAATGGAGCTCTTACCTGTACAAGAAAAATGATGAGAAAATAAAAATTTGCAATTCTTCTAAACTGTTCAAACAGATTCTTTGGGAGGAAATTCCAAAGTGTATACTGTAAGGGGAGAAGAAAAAAAAAGATTATTAGAAAGGAAACTTGAAAAATATTAATAATAATGACTCATGATTCCAAATTATCACAACACTTTGAAAGCATGTTAAAACCCAAACCTCAAACATATGAATAAGCGTGTACTTAGAGGTAGAGTATATAAACATTCTTTTCAGGAGTGAAGTTTTCACTTGGAGCATTCCAGTTGGGCCATCTAGTCCCACAGCTTTGCTTTCCCCGACCCGATCTAAATTATGTTCCCTGTTATCTGCTCTCATATCATCCTATACTTCCCTGATAACACTCGTTTCAGTGAATAATTATATGTGTGCATAATTTAATTAAAGTTCCTCCCTCAATGGGCAATGAGATTTATAAGGGCAGGCCTCATCTGTCTTTTTATTACTTTTTCTCCAACACCTAGCACAATGCCTGACATAAAGTAGACAATAAATTAGTTGGATGAGTGAATGTACTAATTTAATTAATTCCTTTGGCTGAGCTAACCTCTGGAAACTTGATCATCATCACAAGTATAATTCTGTCCCTATCACCGCTTCCCACCTCTGTGACAGCTGAGGTGTACACATAACCTTGGGTCATAGAGGGCTTTCATTTGAATCAACAACGCACCACCCTGCGCTTTGTTAACTGGTAATAGGTAAAGGTTTCAACGCTAAATTGTACACGGGCAGGTCGAGAAAACTCTTGGGCCAACTGTCAAATCACAAAGACCTTCTTTCTCACTGATACCTTAAGCTCAAGGACTAGGTAATTTTAAAATCACCAGAAGTTGGATTTTCTAGATGTCTTAATAAAGAAGACCAGAAACCAGAAAGAAAGAAATGTTTCTTAATCTAAAGATCTAAATTTATACTTGAATGGTCTCCATATGTGAGAAAATGTCCATTATATTAGGTGGGGTGACTGAAAAAGCCAAAGTTGTAGAGCATGATACGACAGATGGGGATTTACTACTAACCTCTCTTTAAAAGGTGTATGGGCTCAAGGTTCCGCTAACCTAGAAGGTTCTTCCCCCAGCGTTCATAGAAGTGCCTCAGGGAAGCCCATTCAAAATGAAGTGCATAATTGTGTGTGGATGTGTATCACTTGGGAGAAGAGAGTCCACAGTTTTCAGGTTCCCAAGGCAGCTTGTGACCAAAATAAAAGGGATCAAAACCACAGATCCAGTCACTTTGAAGCTGCCGTAGTTCAGATCAGCACTTAACTGTCCCAATAACTGAAGGTCAATTTTCTAAAACAACAAACTAAACTCCAACAACAGGCTAACAGCTGAGCTTCTAGCTTGTTGACCTTCTGTTCCTTAAGTAAAGGGTTTTTAATTAAACAAACAAACATTAGGGACTGTTAGAATCCTCCGTGGGGTGTTAACACATTGAAAGGGAACATTTTTTGCTGCTGCTTCCAGGCCCCCACTGTTTGTTTACCTGTGTTTCACTAAATGAACTGCTTCCTTGAGGAACTCTGGTTATTCTCTTTATAGGAAACTACTGCAACATGCCCTCTTCTTTCCTATATCAGGTCATGAACTGCTAAGAGGTCAGGGAGCATATCATGCACATCATAAGATCACTTCCCTTCTGTGCCTACAACAGTGTTCAGCATGTAGAAGGCATACAAGAAATTTTGATTAAAACCTGTGTTTTGGCTATTTCCTCCACTGCTCTAACTAAAAAGCAAATTCAACTTCTCATCTCTTTATTATAATACAAATGCAATATAGCATACATTACTTCAGTGCAGTTTTCTAGCAAAACTAGAACTAGATTATGCTCACAAGAGTCATCCCACTTGGTGTGCAGTGCATTTCAGTTCAATTCAGCAAGCACCTACTGTGTGCCAGGCAGTGGTCCAGATAACAAAGATTTTAGCAGGTACAATAAAGATCAAGATATGGCTTTTCTACCCAGAAGGAATTTATGTTATAGCCAAAAAGACAATCATGTATTCACTCAATTTAATGTGGTAAATGTCATAAAACTAGCATGAGCAAAATGCTATGGGGATACAGTATAAGTTATGATTTTTTTCCTACCCAAGAGAAGCTTGAGAAGGCTTCAAAGAGCAGGTGACTTCTGAACTGAGCCTTGAAAGATTAGAGGGAGTTTATGTGGTAAAGAGCCCAGTGCAAGAAGGCACAGAGCCATGTAAAAGGAGATTGAATCCATGATGCTCTCTCTGTCCCTCAAATCTCGTTCTCTTTCAGGATGTCCTATTTCAGTGAATAACAAGAACATCTACTTAGCCATGTTATTCAGATACTTGGAAGACACCTTTAACCACCGGTTACAAGAAATTCCTTACCAGTCCTGCCATTTTTACTTCCTATATATCTCTGGGACATCTTTCCGTATTTGCTACCACCGCTGTCCAAGCCATCATCTCTTACCTGGATTACTGCACTGGCCTCCTAAATGGACTCCTTGCCTCCACTTTTGTTCCCTTCCATTCCATTTTCCACAAAGCAATGAGAATGACCTTTTCAAAATGTGGTTCTGTTCACATGACCTCTCCCTGCCTAAAAGCTTCATTTATTTCCTACTGTTTGTGAGATGAAGAATGAACTTTAGTCTAGATGTAGACTAAGAAAAGAGTTTTCTAATTAAAACTGAAATTGAACTAAAGCCACAGTAATACCAAGTTATTCAAATTGCCTTGTTTACCTAAAAAGTGGACTCTCAGACTTAGTTGCTACAAACCAAAAACAATGTTAACTCACAGGAATAAGATGTTTACAGCATTTGTTTCATACACAATGATGAAAATGGAGATTTTTTGGGGGTCATAAGTCAGTTCTTGCTCAGAGAAGTCAGTAAGTAGATTTCTATACTATCTTAATGTGCAGCCATAAACTTAAAAAGCAACCGTGACATTCAGAACATGTTTTAAAAGTTTCTCCAGAAAAATGCCAGCTTTCCAAGTATATGCAATGCATTTTTCATCTTCTCTATAGTGAATTAAATAATTGGTACACAAATGTGGCCTCTGATGTGAAAAAACTGTGGGTCATCCCCTTGCACATCTATCACCTAATTTAATTTGAAATCAAAACCATATAACTTTGATAAATAACTTTCCTAATTTAAAGGAGGGAGTAGGAAATGAACCTCAGTTTTGAAAGCCTATTAAATTGAAAAATTTAAACAAAAGGAGGCTTTAGAACATTACTTGTTTGTACCCAAAGTCCAAACATTTTCCAATTTAGCCTTAAAAATGCTGATGTGGAAGCTAAAGCTCCAAATAACTTGTTCTAATATTTCTGTGTATCACGAGAAAACAGGGGAGCAGCTAAAAAACGAAGCAGTAACTATTGAAAAGAACAAAGTTAACAACCAGTTGCGAAGGGGCTAGCAGAAGGAGCACTGACTTTTTTAACTACTGGGATTTGGATGTGATGGAACAAAATCACTAAACTTGAAGATTAGTTGTAAATAAGCACCCGGTTGTAAATAAGCAGAGCTGTAGCTTGAATAACTGTTCACTTTGCTAAATGACTGTATCCACTTTATTATCAACTCTCCTTGATGTAGGCATTAAATTCAATTTTGAGCATCACAGCAGTCTACTTCCATTTTCATTACCAATGTCAAGCAGAACTTTCTCATTTTTAAAGTATCACTCTTTCTACCATAAATTTAGAACAGCAAAAGGAGTTACCAAGACAGTACTGCATTAGGATTTTAGCTAAAAAGTCACCTTCAGGGAGTTCGATAAGATGCAAAGACATGTCTAATAAATTCTACTGAAGGTTCTGACTTTTAAAATGAGGGAAAATGCTAGTGTAATTTTAGGCTTGAAACTTTAAGACATTCTTTCACATAGGAGTAAGTTTAACCTTGGGCATAGCTTCAAAGAGTCAGGTGGAGCTCCCTGATTCTTATCCCACTGAAGGGGCCTTCAAGATGAGGCTCAGGATTTTTAAAGGAAAAAAAAAAATGTAGAGCAGAGAAATGTGATGGAAGCTAAAGATCTTAAAGATCTAGCTCCTTTTGTTACAGAAGGGGATTTCCAAGTTTTGTACCAGCCATAAAATTCTGATGATCCCCAAAGTCCCTGCAGAGTGTTCTAAAGTAGGAAGGCCAAAGAGAGCAAGTTTTTCTAAAGAAAGTGTTTGTGTTTCCAAAAGAAGAAAAGGACACTCATTTTATAAGTAAATTAAAACAAATTTTTATCAAAGTGTTTATCTTCAGTGTTCCTTGTATTAACAGGACTTATTCCCAATGATATTACATTACTGATGTCATTTGTAGACAAACAAACAAAAAGCACCCAATTAAGAGAAAGTTATTTTTATTACTGAATGGTTTAGAAAGGAAATCAACACTTGCTACATAGTTGGAAGGCAGCTAACATATTCTATAAATTACACATTTCCTCAATTAAAAGATTCTGGTGCAAATACAATCAGCCAAAGGGCAATGTGAGGAAGAGAAAGTCAAATTATGAAACTCTTTTTCTCTCCAGACTGAAGGCCTCTTTTCAAGAGAGATCACTCCACACATTTGAACACAGGAGACTGAGGAAATCAATAGTACTGCTCAGGACTGCAGTAATAATAATAATAATCACAGAAACATAATAACAATAGCAGCTACCATCTACTGAGTTGTTACTACATGCCAAGCACAGTGCTTAAATGCTTTCTGTGGATTACTTTACTTCAGTCTAATCACAATCCTATGAGCTAAGTAGTTAATACCCCCATTTTACAGATAAGAAAATTGGGACACAGGAAGGTTATATGACTCACTTTTAACTTCAAACCCAGGTCTTCTGTCTGTAAGGGTGAAGCTCTTTACCACTACACTATACGCTGTTTTCTTGTAACTATTCATTGTACTAAAATTTCATTCTTTTTGTGAAGTTAGTATACTGTCAATTCCTCTTTTTCTGCTCTAGATCTGTTATGGAAAATAGATCAGTTAATGAGCAGTTAACTAGACAAACTGTAAATATAAAATATTTACAGAGAAAAAAGAGATGTGTTAGTCGATCAATGTAGAAATGTTCCCTTCTTTATTCTGGTTTCTAAAACACATACATATATACTGTATATGCAGATCTGTTTAGAAATAATTTATATTTGCCCATGAATTCCCGACTATTTAAAAAAATATCCTATTGCATTGTTTTGCGTATTGGCAAAACTGAAGTTGAACAAAATATGAAAAATATTCTATTCTATTAAATATTCTATTAAACAAAAAGAGTTGAGAATTAACTGAGTCTTCTACGTTCTTTTAATATGTAAAAATTCATGGTATATTAAAACAAATCAATTATCACTAGGTTCAGTGAAAAGTCACTTTACTATCGGCGTGTCACTTTACCATCTTCCCCATAAAACACTATAGGAAACAATAATCCCCTAGAAAGTATTTTATATTTCACTTGATACAAAAGGAGAGAGAAAACTGTGGGAGGAGCCCAAATTGCAAAACAATGTGAAAACAGCTCTTTATTCAGAGCCATTAGACCTTAAAAAGCAGTTCTGCCCCTGGCTTTATCACTAACTCTGCTTTGTGACCATGTCACTAACTTAATTTCTGTGGGTTTGCTTTCTCCATCTGTAAAATCAGCGAGTTGAACAAGAGGATCTCTTATGATGTTTCAGTTCTATAAGTCTATGATTCTGAGCCAAAGGACTACTATTGATTGTTTTCTTGAATACTATAGGGTGAGTCACAATTTTCAGTGAAAGAACTATTCACTATCTTGGGCACAGGTATGGAAACTTCTAGCTGAGGATAAATTTCTGCCATAAGGTTAAAGATTAACAGGAAACAGACATTTTATCCAAATACACTCAGAGTGTTCTATAGCCCAATAGATCTGCTCATTAGGCAATACAGTTTTCATTCATTCTGTCCGCATTTTACATGTTACTCTCCCAGCTAAGCATAATCTGTCTGTATTTTTTTAACATCTTTATTGGAGTATAATTTTTTACAATGGTTGTTAGTTTCTGCTGTATAACAAAGTGAATCAGCTATACATATATCCCCATAACCCCTCCCTCTTGCGTCTCCCTTCCACCCTCCCTATCCCACCCCTCTAGGTGGTCACAAAGCACCGAGCTGATCTCCCTGTGCTATGAGGCTGCTTCCCACTATCTATCTATTTTACATTTGGTAGTGTATATATGCCCATGCCACTCTCTCACTTCGTCCCAGTTTACCCTTCCCCCTCCCCGTGTCTGTATTATATCACTACCCAAAGAGAAATCACATGTACATTTGAAAACCAAAATGTTAAGTTTGCAAAGGAAGGGCATAATTTTGTGTTTCAGGTCCTCGGTGTTTGCCAACATTCAGTGAACCAACCGTCACCAACATGTGAGATCTACCTTACATTAGGAAGTGAGGAAAATTATCAAGATCTGTGCCATGCTATAAGAGACAGCAGTGGGCCAGCAATCTAGCACCTAGCACCTAACCTAGTCAGTCAAAGGTAAAGATAAGCAAACTAATACTTGTAGAATGATGACTACTGGATACTAGGATCTATAAAGAACGCTATCACACAAGCTCTATTTCACTAATGAGGACATTCAGACTGAGAGATTAATTTGGCCAAAGTCGCACAGCTAGTAAATGATCAGGCCAGGATTTAAACAGGTCTTCAGACTTTCAGGCCACTCCTTTTAGTATTACACAGTGCTAAAGTAAGATGATTATTCAAATGGTAATACAGCTACAGTGACTGAACCCTTAACTGTTTAAGCAGTGTACAGAACAGAATGTACCCATTAGCACCCAGGAGTGTACTTGAGAAGCTCTGCAATGGAATAGAAAGAGACACAAATGTCATTCTAAGATAACACCCTCCAGAAGAATGCAAATTATTTACAACCCAGTCCGTCCACTTAAGGGCAATTCAGAAAGCTCTGGGCAAGTAAATAATTCCATGCTTAGCACACTTTAAGACTTAAAGTCATACATATAATCAACAGGCAATGTGAATCATAGTGGAGGGCAAGTAAATGATCTTTCAGCTGTAACAAGACAAAGTGATGCTTTTAAAAAAACTGCCTTTTGGTGGAATAATTACCACAGTTCGTCTATGATTGGTATAAGTGCACATCCAGGTATACATATATAAATGTACCAGCTTCCAGCAAATATAAAAATAAGTTTTATCTGGCTCACTATATGAACATCTATTGAGTTAAAAAACAACTTACCTTAGATGAGACTATTCTATTATCACAAAATTTTTGTGCAATGTATGCTTCTGTTTCTGAAACTGGATGATTGCCAACAAATACTGTGCGTGTACCAACTCGTTTCTCTTCTCCAGCACACTGACCAAGAGAAAGAGGAAAAGTCAGTTTTTCATCACATTTCTCCATGCTTCTACCAAGCTCAGAATTCTTGTCTTGACATGTTTGGCTATTGTCTAGAGAGAGGGAGTAGTAAGGGGAGAGGAGAAAACCTTGTTAGGAAATTCAAACTCCACTAAGCTCTTAGTTGCTGACTTAGTGAAGATTATTAGTAAAAGTTTTGTTTGAGCCAACTGCTCTGAGGCCAACATTGCAATTCTAAATGTTTAAATTGAAGTAAGTATCCTAGAGAAACAGTATTTTTACTGCCAATCATTTTTCTTTCATCCACAGAGTCTCAGCCATCACTATCACAGCAACATACTAACTTAGGAAAGGTCAGATTGGGAATATTTATTTTATTATACAACAACTATTGAGGACAACCTTTGTCAATTTCCTTACTAGACAGCAGAATGCTCTAAACACAAAATAATTGCTTATAAATACACAGGAATATACTGAATAGTATGGCTGCCTCTCTTAATGGAATGATCAACTATTCCTACAAAGAAAAGTTGTAATTGTTTGGCTTTACAAGGAAAGACACTCTTTTGTGATCTCTCAGAGCCTACTGTCAAAAAGTCCCATTTCAGGGCTTCCCTGGTGGCGCAGTGGTTGAGAGTCCGCCTGCCGATGCAGGGGACACGGGTTCGTGCCCCGGTTCGGGAGGATCCCGCATGCCGTACAGTGGCTGGGCCCGTGAGCCATGGCCACTGAGCCTGCGCGTCCGGAGCCTGTGCTCCGCAACAGGAGAGGCCACAACAGTGAGAGGCCCGCATACCGCAAAAAAAAAAAAAAAAAGAGAAAAAAAAAAGGTCCCATTTCACACAATACAGCTCTAATGCCCCTTTCATATTTTTAAAAAAGAGGTTCATTGAATCTAGAAGTCGCAAGGTTGAGCTCCATTTTTACCTCACCCTTTTATTTCACTGAGGCTTCACTTTCCTTATTTTAAATCAGGATAATATACCTTCTTATATAAATCTGGGATAGTCTCTTTTGATGGTACTATTTTATCATGTTTGAGACAACCATTTTTTTAAGTAAAAAGTATGATAAAAACCAATATCCACTTATATATTTCCATTATTTTTTAAAAAAAGATAACTATAATTTCCAACCTAAAATGTTTTAAAGTATGTAGCCACAAAGATTTCCCTTCAATTATCTATTTAAAGGTCAAAGATATAACTCTCTACTCCCAAAATAATCATTTTAAGCAAGACTACTTAGAGGTTGCAAAGTTCTCCAAATGTCTATGCTTGGATGTATTCCAGTCTGAATTTTTGTACCTCACATAGATATAGGGAAAATAATTTTTCAGATTAAAAGAACAAGAATTACCCTAAAATACAGATAAGACCTCTTGCCTCACCATTTTCATTTTAAGCTTATTAAATAATTATTTAGTGGTGTATTGCCTCTAAAATCCATAGGGAATCAATGGAAAATTAACTGAGATAAACTGAAGTAGGAGAGATTTAGCCTGTATATAAAGGATAACTTCTGGAAATCCACCCTGGCATGCACTAAGGGAGCATTCAATCTATGGCAACCTGGAAAAAGTAAGTTATCAATGCTGGACAACTTAGCTATTTACCTGCCTGCCCCAAGACAGGGCATTAGAACAGCTGATTGTACCAGGTCCTTCGCATGCTAAGGGTCAGTGATTAACAGGTAAATTTTCAAACAGTTCCTGGAAACCAGTAAACAATACCTTTACCAGAATGGTAACTATATACATTTTGATTCAGGGACTGACTTTGTTTGCAACTGTAATATACATGGTCTGACGCAGCTTACTGATAAGAGCACTAAATTTTCCATAATATCCTTTTTGCAAAAAGTAAACTGAAAGTGAATACATCTGCTTAAAAGTATACTTTATTCTGCTTCCCCTACCCTAGCTTTCTGTTGCAAGTTACGGTACCAATGTAGTCTCTACAACAGACCTGAACCTATTATGTACCAATTTGAAGTACAGAAATTGTCAAGTCCATATACACACTACAATTTAAATCCTTTAATTTAATATTCACATGGTCGTTTAGTTTTCCACACAAGCAAGAAGTGGCTATAGAGTAAATAAGGAAGAGCTACCTTTCATGCCAGTTCTCAGATCATTCAACAAATGAAAACAGGGAAGAGGAAAAGAGGTAGAAGATCAGTGAATCAGGATGTTTCCTGCACTGCCAATATAGTTCTCCTCAGTTAACAGTGGCCACTTAAAACCAAACTGAACTAGCACTTCCCCAATTCTGAATTGTCTTCAACTTTCTTCTGTGGCAGATAACAACATTCCAAAGAACAAAAGGAAGGAACAAGCATAAAGCAATTTTTCAGGCACATGATATTTTTATGAATTCCCTGCATTTGCATAGCATTTACAGTTTTACTAAGACTTTCCCCCATATATTACCTCTGATCTCTTTCAAGTAAGGCTTAAGTGACCTCTATCTCCATTAAACTGGAGAAAATGGATTGAAATTGCTGTGCAGGTTTGGGGAGGGGGAGAGGGGGATGGGAGATCTCAGCAGTGATCATTGTTAGATGTGGAAATAGGAACCCAAGAGAAGTTGTAAAATGTCCACTCCTGAGGATTTTTCAAAAAAGGGCAAAGTCTCCTCAGCTCAGGTGGGTTTGGGTTTGGAGCTGCCTGAGGACTGGGGGTGGGGTGGGGTGAAATAGATGACTTTTCAATGCCTGTTTTGGCCTAAAAATCTGATGAACCCGCAATTTCTGGTAGAATTTGCTGCAACCGTATAACGTTGTTTGGTTCACATAAAAATGGCAAAGCTGAACACGTGTAAACTCACTGTAATTTTACACTTGCTGCCAATGCAGAGTGTTAGAACAGTGGTTTTAGTTCCTGTGATTTTGAATAATGTAGGTGCCTTAGCCAAGGGAGAGGAACTCCAAGTTCGAACTATTAAAAAAAAAAATTCCCACTTGGATGGCACACAGTGTAGTCTGGAGTGGGAGTGTATGATTCCTGCCACCTCATAATGAATTTTAATTCATTAGGAGTCCATCCTGTGTTGAAGTGCTTCCCATGCAAATGTTCTTAGGAACAGCATTTATTAAAACTGAAATGTGCTAGCAACAATTCTATTTTAATGATACAGCGTACACTACAATTAAAAGGGTGGGAAAATAAAAGTGTATTTATAGTAATATGAATTAACAGAGAAATCAATTTGTCTTCTCCATGATAAAAATCACCCTTTTGTACTCTTGAATTATACCTCCATACTATAAACTGAATATTGTTTTTTAAAAAAAGTAATTTATACCAAAACATAGTCTCTCAATAAAAACCAGAGTAAAATGGTACTGTTATTCGACTAGTACCATCTTTTTTTTCTTAATTTACTTTACTGAAGTATAGTTGATTTACAATGTTGTGTTAATTTCTGCTGTACAGCAAAGTGATTCAGTTATGCACATATATACATTCTTTCTCATATTCTTTTCCATTATGGCTTATCAGAGGATATTGAATATAGTTGCCTGTACTATACAATAGGACCTTGTTGTTTATCCACTCTGTATATAATAGTTTGCATCTGCTAATCTGAGGCAATATATGTTTCGAGAAACTTTCTAAGAAGTAGTTTATTTACACAAGAGTCATAGCATAGATTTGATAACTCATTAAGTTATTTAGGAACCATTTATGGATAGTTTGCTAGGTCCAATGGGAAATAAAATCATCGATAATGTCAGCTAACATTTACTGAGAACTGATTTTGTGTTCTAAGTGGTTAATACACAGTATCTCAAGACATCCTTAACAGCTACCCTATGAGGTAGATGCTCTTATTATACCCATGCCCCAGATAACAGCAAAGAAAAAAATAAACAGCAGCCAAAGTGGAAGCACAGAGAGTTTTTGCAGCTTGCCCAGCATCACATTTCATAAGTGGTACGGTAGTCAGGACAATAAGGATTTTACAGTATTATAAGGAAAATGTATTACACATAAAAACATTTTAATAGGGCTTCCCTGGTGGCGCAGTGCTTGAGCGTCCGCCTGCCGATGCAAGGGACACGGGTTCGTGCCCCGGTCCGGGAGGATCCCACATGCCGCGGAGCGGCTGCGCCCGTGAGCCATGGCCGCTGAGCCTGCGCGTCCGGAGCCTGCGCTCCGCAACGGGAGAGGCCACAACAGTGAGAGGCCCGCGTACCGCAAAAAAAAAAAAAAAAAAAAAAAATTTAATAGAAAGTAAAAGCTTCTATGCATCATAAGAATTAAACAGAATGGTCAACTAGTACCATCTTAAAATCCTATGGTTTCGCTAGTCATAAACAAAGAAAGCTGCTGGAATTATAATTCATTTCTTGATTGCCTCTAGACCAGTGACTCAAAAAGAACTGAGGGAAGATTGAGACCTTAATACAAGACTGTCATTATGAAAGCTGGCACAGGTTCTGAAACAGAGCTCACCTCTCCATCCATTCCAGGTGTTGGCAGACTTAAATTTATCACTTAGTCATAGATCAGTGGTTCTTAAGTCTGGTCACACGTTGTCTTTAAACATAATACCAATGGCTGGGTCTTTTATTTAATATTTAATTTAATTTTTCTCAAAGCTCCCCAGGTGACAATTCTGATTTGTAGCCAGGGCTGAGAATGACTGCTACAGAACCTCTCTCTTTGAATTAATGATTGACCTTAACTAACATCCTACAAGTTTTTAGTACACCAGCCACAATCCTACACTTTTTAATTAAAAGTTTAAATAATTGGCTTTTCAAAGGATAAAAATATACAAATAACCATCAAATAGCAACCCCTCTGACCATTTTAAGCTGCTCACAAAATGAGATTCTCCTTCAATATTCATTTTGCATGTGGCTAATACCCATCAATTATTCAGATCAATGATAATGAAAATTACAGGCCCTGAAAACATGCAAAGCTACTCGGGTTATCAGCAAATAATCATCGATGTCATCTCCAATGATCACTGCATTAC